CAGCCCCCTGGGGCTGGCCGCTGGCGTGCGGCTGCTGGAGCTCCTCGCCAAGCGCCTCCATCTCTCCACAGCCAGCTTCATCAACATCAGGTGAGGGGAGCTGGGCTGTGGCGTGCTGCTTTCACAGCCCTGGCCATGCACAGCTGCCCCGAGCGGGGAGCCAGGAGGAACTGGGCTGTGTTGGGGGCGGGGAGGGGGTCAGTGCTCCCCGGTCTCATGCTGTCTCCCCCCTCCCTGGCAGTGTCGTGGGCCCCGCGCTCACCTTCCGCATCCGGCAGAACCCCCAGAACCTCTCGCTGGCAGACGTGGCCAGCCAGGCTGGTGAGTTGGGCAGGGGTCCCCCTGGTCCTGCCCCCCTTTCCTCCTCCAGTTGTGGGGTGCCCCTTCCCAGGGGCCGGGAAGAGGGGGCTCCCACCATACATTCTAGTGCCGTTGGCTGAACTGGGGAGCTGGTGTGGGGTGGGCAGCTGTCGGGAATATCCCTTGGCTCTGTTTCTGGGGAGGTCTCTTGGGTGGAGGGGAAGCGCCCCTCTAACCATCTCTTCTCCATCCACAGAGCAAGTGAAGGCAGAGCTGGAGGCAGAGCTGGGCCTGAAGATTGTGCAAACAGGAGTGGGAGAGGTAGGATCAAGGCATGCCCGTCCTTCAGGGCTGGCGCGGCCAGGGACAGGGCAGTGGGGGTGCTGCTGCCAGGCACGAGCCGGGAAGCACGCTGTGCCCCAGCCCTGGGGTGCAGGGGTCTTCATGAGCAAGCCATCCCTGTGGGTCTGTGGGGCAGCTGGGGAGCAGAGGGCTCTGGGCAGTGTTTGGGCTGCTGTGTTGGAGACAGACTCGGGTTATCTGGGATGGGCCGGAGCAGGACCGCTCCAGTGACCCCCTTCCACCTGGCAGCGAGATGCTGCCCAGCCACCTGCACTCCCAGGGCACTCGGCTCTTTCTAAAACAAAAGCTCCTCAGGGTTTGAAGGCAATTTGGGAGGGCCTCCCAGAGGCTTTCCCCCCACTCCATCCAAGACTGGGGGGCTGCAGGCTGCACCCCGCAGGACTCATCCTCGCCCTTGCCTCCCTCCAGCCTACGCACCTCACCCTGGCTGCGGCTTGGGTACTGCTGTGCCCAGAGCACCCCAGAGACCACAGCTAGGCAGGCAAAATGCCATCGTGCCCCCAGGGAACAGCAAAGCAGCTGAAGGCAAGGATGGAGCAGGAGCCATCTGCTTGGAGAGGAGCTCCCCCTCCCTGTGCTCCTCTGGGGATCCCCAGGAACAGACACCTGGGGGGGGGAGCTGGGGCTGGAGATGGGGGAACGAGCCTGGCTCTAGTGTCTGCAGCCTGGGGAGGGGAAGTGGTACAGCACATCCCCAACCCGCGGTTCCTGTTTCCCACCGTCCTGCCCTATGGCTGTAGCTGTGGGCAGGGAGGAAGGAAGGGGGGACCTTGGAGGAGAAGGCCATGGAGAAGGGGTGGCCTGGCCACCGCGCAATCAGTCTCCATCAGCAACATGTGGAGTGTTGCTATGGCAATGCCTTTTGATGTGGCAAGTGGCAGGAACTGGGAGAGATGGCAGAGATGATGGAGCTGGAGCTCAGAGGAGGATGAAGCAGCTTTGGGAGCCCTCTTCTGCACAGACCTCCCCAGTGCAGACCACCTTGTGCTTTTCCTTCTTCCCCTCCTGGGCTCTGAACTCAGTGGGACTGGTGCAAGATTTGGGGAAGGAGGGATGCAGAGAGGCAGGGGGACAGCAGGGCCTGGGCAGGCCTTGGGAGGGAGGTCCCTTCTATCCGCCCAGCCCTGCTGATGCCTCCAGACCTTCTTACCCCTCCAGGGGCTGCAGGGCTGCTCCTGCTTGGGTGCCCCGGGGAGCTGGGAGGTGCTGGCCCTGGTGGGGCACCCCTGGCTGCAGGGCTCGCTGGGCCCTGGCGGCAGTCAGACTGGCCCCCAGGCGCTGGGGCTGACGAGGCTGGGGGTCAGCCTGGCCCCCAGGCGCGGGGGCGGACGAGGCTGGGGGGCAGGCAGCAGCGGGGACCCCTGGGGCGGGGGCATCCCCAGGAAATGATGGTGACAAGGTAGGTGATGATGACGCAGTGTTCCCTCGGTAACCTCATCAGGCTTGTGGCCAATGGGAGGCCATGGCAGTGAGGTAATGCTGGGCTCTGGCGCCTCATTGGACACAGGGTATTTGGTGGTGGTGATGCCCCAGCATCCCTGTGCTGCCCTAGGACCTGGCTGGTAGGGGGGCGGCATCCTGATCACCAGCGGCTCTGTGACAAGGCCCTGGGGGGTCTCGGCCTTGGGGGGGGTCTCATCCAGCAAGGGCTCAGCACCATCCCATCCCATCATGGGACCGGCACAGATTTGGCTGAACCTTCAGCTACAGGGAAGGAGCCCTGAAGGCACTGCCTGCAAGATGGCAGGGGCTGCTCTGTGTCCCAGCTGAGGAGAGCGATCGGGAGGACCCATCTTCCAGCCACCGCAGCTGGGATGGCACCAGCCCTCTGGCAGTGCCGGCACATCCCCCCTCGTGTCCTGCCATGGAGCAGTGGCCGGAGGGGAGAGCCAAACCCCATTTGGGGAATTCCCCTGGGAGCAGCGATTGCTGCCCTGGACCCAGTGCTGCAGTGGCCCATCCTTTGCCATTAACCCCTTGGGCTGAATCCAGCCCTCGTTGACCTCCAGCTGGGCAGGAGCTCATTGAACCTGAGCTCCGTGGGGCTACTGCCTGCCCTGGAGGGTGGCAGCCTGGGCTGGGGCTGCCCCAGTGAGCAGCCCTGGGTGCTGGGAGCAGCAGGTCGCTGCTGCCTGGGCTTGGCCAGGCTCTGCCCCTTCCTGCAGCCCCAGGGACACCAGTGTGAGCAACGCTCCATGTGACATGCAGGTGGGTGCACTGTGCCTCATCCCAGTGACACCCAGCACTGCAGTGACACCAGCTCTGCCCCAGCTGAGGGTGCTGGGAGAATCAGCACAGCACCGGGTGCCCTTGCTCTGTTTTAGCCCCCAACAACCCCAAATGTGGTGCAGAATGGGGTCTCTGCACCCCCAGCCCCATGCAGATGCCCCCCACTAACCCTTGCTTGGCTCTGCTCCCAGCGAAATGAGGCTGCTGCCTACTCGCGCCCATCCCGCTTCGGGGATGGCTTCCACTCGGTGCTGCTGACCTTCATCGCGCTGGCCTGTGGGGGGG